TTTGTTTGTTCGATTTAATAAAAATCGAATAACATAAAGAATAGCAAATAAATATGCCAAAAACACAACAATATAATACTAGTCATTCATATACCAAACTTGCGGCACACAGCTTACCGTGCAGCCCCTATCCTCTGGCATGTTGGCTGATGGGCTACCAGTTAGTTGACATACATGTTGATACTATAAGCTGACTAACGATTAGTCTAATGTTATGTTTGACTCGTACAAACGACCACAACATGAGTTAGCACTCTGTGCAGTTTGTTCGTTCCGGGTTAAGTAGCGGCTAGTACGAGGCGGTGTTCTGCAGACGTAAACTAGTACCATCTCCATTCCAACATTAATGCTGACAAACGTTAACTAACACACAAAACTAGGCGCGCAGCTAGGAGCTAACATTAACTACTAGCAAAACCAAGCACGAACAAACAGCACGGAGAAGCTATAAATAGTATTACAGCACTACCGAGAGTGCACAAGAACTCAGCTCACAACACACTAGGGCTGTTCCTATTTATTGGAATATGTCTTTTATTTGAAGGAGAGGTAGCGCTGTTGACAGGAAGTTGTTGTATGCTATGAAACAACGTGACAGGAGATTAACAGAGAAAAGTAAAATATCCTACAATAAAAAAAGGAGAAAGTAAACGATAAGTCTATGGTGTAAGTGTCTGGGCACCCCCGATACAAGCCTCTTACGTGATATTTGGAGATTTTCAATAAATTCCTATGAAAGACCTAGGGCGAGATGTTTTTGTTTGGAGAAGTCTTTTTGCAGGCTTCGTAGCGCATCCACTTCTGAGAAGGGAGGTGTACCGATATCAGATCTCCATAGTGATAATTAAAGTGCAAATTGCAGACTGCTTGTTTTGAATATGGTGACCCACTGTGTGTGGCGAGCGTCGACAGAGGAAATATGTCGTACCACGTGATATTTGAAGTCGACGCATGCGAACAGCACAATATTAATCAAAACTTGTGAAATAATTGCACTAAACGGGTTGTTCTTGTAGTACTCCATTTATTGACGATGGGGGGCGCGCATAACTAAAGACGTAGCCTCGATTAAGCAAGGCAGATAGAAGACACATGTATCAGTATATGGACCAGCAGATCCTGTTGTGTAACAGCCCTCTACGTTAGTCAGTGGACGTCCGACAACATGCACCACTAACTTATAAATAAATGCCAGTAATGAAAGGCTATACTGTTTGGTTTAAATTGCGTGAATATAACTAGAGAGCTAAAGTTATTACGATTCTCCAATGGTTGGAAGGATTACATTATTAATGTAAACAACACTGTATAGAGTGAACGTGTGGAGCTTCACACGATAGAGAAACACCAAGATGAAATAATCTAATCCCATCCATTTTCATCAGTAACCCCAAAAAAAATCGCTCATCGCTCATTTACCAATGAACATTTCTACTAAAAGACCCCAGGGCAAAAAGTGGGAGGAAACTATTCTGCACCCCGTGCAATGTGTGGTTGAGCATAAGAGAAAATCAACGGTGGACAGACCCACTTTGATTTATTCAAACATTGAAAATGCTTTCTGCTGCTGCCCGGACAAGAAAGCCAAAACAACGCACGTTCACCGAGGCGATCAACCTCCAAAAACCCTTTCGAGGGCTACAAGCAAACGAAGTGAGTAGCCTACAAGATTGAAGCTGCTCAGATAACGAACGAGTAAAGGAAAACAGAATGAGGCCGGAGAAGTGGTGTGGGGGGGGTGGTGTGTGTGGGTGGGGGCAACTAAACGACTACGTAAGAAACGGTCCCAAGGTTGGGTAGACCGGCATACCAACGCCCGCTCCCTCTCTCCACGTCTCCTGCTGCTGCTGTGCTGTAGAAGAGGGGGAGGAAAGAGAGGCCAGGCACCTGTTCATTAAATATTCATTATACAAGAGAACAGAGTCGTGTCTGACCGGCACTTTTTTAATGTTGTATGAAGATTTAAAACTTTAACGACATGTTGACGGTGGAAGATTTTTTTAACGGAAACTCTGCCGCAACGGTCCCTCGTTCCTTGGAGAGGCGGAGAGGTTGGGTGGGTTTTTCTCTCTGGTGGACTACCGGAGAGATATACAGCAGGAGAACACCGCCGTCCACACGCGGAGATAAACAGAAGGCGCAACCATGGCAACCTTGCTCCGGGGTTTCTTCTGACGCTTTTGGTGTACTTCTGTGGCGGCAGAAGTGCCACTTACAGGCTGGCATATGTACTACAGCGTTTCCAGCATTTCCAGCAGGACTAGTTGTGAACGGACACGTTATGAATCGGAGAATGCGTTTGTGAACGGAAGACCTTTTTGCGTTTGCGTTATGCGTGTTACCGTATGTGTCCTCGTGGGGCCGGGGTCTAAGCCAAACTATATCCGGTCACAGAGATCTGCTATTTTAAAGTAAAGTCAACACATATCGACCCTAAATATAGTCTATATTGAGAACAAGAAAAGTTTTAACAGTGTTTTTTGTAAACATATGAGACAAATGTGTGAGGGTGATGACGTCAGAGCATCGTCCTATGTGCCAGGGCTTAGCCCCGGACAGCCCCAGCCCAATTTAACCCCTGGATATTTGTGAGCGAGCGCCTATATGGCATTACCCCGCTGAAGCTCACCAAAGTTTAATATATTGCATAGTTCAAAGTTTTGTCAATTGTTTTGTTTATTGGTCAAATACTGGTTTTCTGAGGAGTTTTACTGGAATGAAAGAGCTAAGAGTCTACAGAAGCAAAAAAGAAGCATACTGCATTAAACCTGACCTTCACAGAGAGGTTGAAGTTCATGTGGAAAGGAGGCTTCAGTAGTCTGTCTGCACTCTGTTTAGTGGTGTTATCTTACAATCAATATAGTAAATGTGAGGTAAAGTGTGTAGCCAATGTAACCGGTTAGAACTCGAAGTTGCGATGAGGTCTTAAAATGTATGGAAAGGGTCTTAAAAAAGGTCTTAAAAGGTATTAAATTTGACTTCAGGATTCCTGCATATACCCTGATCAATAATTGGTCACAATCTGCAGCTTGAGGAGGGAGAGGAGTGCTTAGGGACCGTCTACAAACTGCAACGGGGTTTTGCGAGATCTCGCAAAAGTATTGCGAGATATCACAAAGGTTTTGCGATATTTTGCAAAACATTTTTTTTTTTTTCAAATTACTTTTTTGTTCTTCTCCATCGCCCCTAAGGGGCTCCGTAAAAATGCATGATCTGTTTGGTATTTTGAAAAATAAAAAGTATAAATATGCCTTATATAGGTATGGTCAGGGCTCGACATTAAGGACTGCCCGATGGCCCGGGGCCATCTAGTATTTAGCTCGGGCCATGAAGCCTCACCTGCTGGTTGCCCGATCGGGCAATCTATTATACCAGTATCATGCAGCTCGCGGATCCAGTAATGAGTGACCCGACAGTAAAATTAAACATATCTATAACTACCGTAATTTTCGGACTATAAGGCGCACCTGAATATAAGCCGCAGCAGCTAAATTGAATGATGTGTACATATATAAGCCGCACTGGACTATAAGCCGCAGGTGTTTTAATGTTTAATTACCATATGTAAGGGTTCGTGCACAGAGGGGATTGTCGGGAAAGAGATGGCTGTTTGAGGAAGCTCCCATTTATTAACATTTCAACAAACAAGTTGCATATTTGCATAACGTATTCAAGTGTTACCATTTAGTGCAATAGTAGCTACAGAACATGTGCTGTGTAAACTGTACTGTATCACGTAGCGTTTCAGACACACAAACTTTTCAACTTTCAAACTTAAACGGTGCGCTCCCAGCGCACGTACCGGCAGTGATCTACAGCAGTGGTTTTCAACCAGTGGTACGGGGACAAACTGTCTCGCTCTCGTAATGTCTGTCTGTCTTGCTCTCGTTCTGTCTCTCGTACCACTCTCGGTTTTGCGCGCTACCTGTCTCACTCTTTTCCGGCCTCCAGCTTTTCCTGCTGGAGCCCGCCGCTTAAAGGTGGGGGGCGCGGACCGGCCATAGAGCCCATAGAGTTAAAGGTGGTGGACTGTAACCTGTAAAATCGATAGATTTAGGAGGTCCCCTAGTGGCCGTTAGCTGTAAAAATCCATAGATTAGCCGCACCGTTATATAAGCCGCAGGGTCGAAAAATGGGAAAAAAGGTGCGGCTTATAGTCCGAAAATTACGGTAACTTAATTTGTAGATTTCAGAAACTGAAACAATTTGCATTGGTTAATCAACGTTATATTAAAGACACTTTCATGTGCATGCTGCCATCCTTAAATGAATCTTCAAGCCATTAAATAGCATTTGGGGACATTGTGAAATTAATTTAAAAAATCTATTTTCTATCATCACTTTTGATCTATTCAAGTAGTGGATATTATTATTATTATATTTTTCCAAATCATTAGTTTAGAGTTTTCTAGACTTCTCTATTCTTCTGGCTTCTGAAACCCTTTCAAACCATATTGGATAAAACACAATTATATGTATATGAAGCTCACAACAACAGTTTTTTCTTAAAAAGGTGAACAAGTTTAAGAAAAGTTAATGAGCATACACCAAATGAAAGTATTTTCCGCAGCATTGACCTGAGAGTTGTCTTTGTGTTCACTGTGGTGCTCCTCTCTTCCACCTGCTAACAGGCAGCTGCTGCTCTGTTGCGACAACGCTGGGAGCTTCCAGACACCCTTGTAACAGCTTGGCTCGTTAGTGGGAGATTTAGCACGCTAACTTTGGGGGTCTGGAGGGCTGCTAACGTCCTGGAGGGATGATTGACACTGACGAGGAGATCATTATGTGGACCAGCTCGTCTGCTTGGCCTGACAGCTTCCTGTTCAGGGTGACGTGATGTATTCGGTCCGCTGGGCCACGATGTGACTTGTTTTCTTCTCGCTCATGGTCCGTGTGACCAGTTTGGACATAATGGTGAAAGAAATAGATCCGGATTATAAACATGTTCCCTGAAAGTGCATAGTATCTTGCAGTCTTAGTTTTCTTTATGAAATGGGCAACTTTTTAAAAAGCAATTGAAATATGTTTTTAGACAGAATATGTAAACTGAACTGCTGCAGCGTCCTTGTTTTTAGACAAAAAACTCAAGTCCACAGACGGCAAATTCTTCCCATATGTGTAGCGTAATATGTTAAATATATATTTTCTGGACTCATATTACACATCTGTGCAGTGTACATGTTTCCATCCAGTGCAATCCACCCCTGAATCTTACATTCGTTTATGGTCCTTCTCGAACGAGGCCATGTACATTAATGCCTTCTTCAAAGGGTCATGCATGTTATAGTTAACTGGATAGTGCAATAAATATACAAACATTTTTCAAAAAGTTTTATAATGCTTTGGATAAAACGATTTGTTTGAAGACGACATCTCTTCTGCCAGAATCATAAGCAGCTGTAATCTCTTCCAGATGTGGTAATCGGGCGCAATGATGGTGAATTATCATGCCAAACGAAACACGCCATAGTACCTCAAATATTTCGCTATTTTTTCTTTCCATTTTCCCCCCAAACATTAGTCAGTGCCTATAGTAAGCCTATATTAGGTTTGCATTAACAGGAGGCCTTTTGTGGGAACCTCAAGCTGGATCCAATTATGTGTTCAAAGGTTGTAAAGCATATTTCTCTGAACTTTACCATAGCAGCCGGCAGCAGTGACTCCAGGCCTCTCTCAGAGCTCCATGACATTATTTACTTGTTTTTAAGTACATCAAGAGCCAAGCTGACCTAATTGTATATGAACTTAAAGCAGGAAGTCTTTTTAACTTACAAGAACCTACATTGCCTTGATGAACAGTGCTGTTTAGTGGACACCGTGCTGTGCCAGACCATTTACTAAAACTATTTGAAGCTGCCCGGACAGTTTGACAAAGAGTCATATAGTTGGAAAAAAGATCTTAGGTATGACAGGATGCTTTATTTCATGCCTGTTGTATTTTCAAGGCATTTAAAACCTTTAAGAACTGTCCACATCACGTATAATTATTCATCATGATCACACGTTTGATAACTGACAAGTAATTTAATTTGTCTTTAAAGTATTGTAATATTGGGTTTCATGTTTTACAATAATCAAAAAAGATCACATACTATTTCAGACCTAGCCAAGCGCTCCAAATGTCTGAGTATTCATAGTAAAGGTGGCTGTGGGATGCTTGTGTGCAGGCAGAAAAAAACCTCAGGATACCAATTCAAGTCAGAAAATTGTATATTCTCTTGTCTTCAACATATGTGGTAAAATGATGCTCGGGGATGAGCATGGCTTTTTTGAAAAGATGGCCATCTATATTGCATTAGATACCGCAGGCTAAACAGAAATGGAAAAACTGTATGAGGGTTTATTTCTTTCTTGGAAGTCGATAGTCAAAACCAGGTAAATAATGTAGTCAAATAAAAAGACATGCAAGATAAAAATGTCACTATGCTTTCTTTGATGCAACAAGTTTTGTGGTGTATAAGGACACACCCTAATCCGGCCAACCATGAATTTACATTATAACTAAGATCCGTTTCTCTAGAGCTTTAATATTTTTACTCTAAAACTGAATGTGGGCACCTCGTGGTGCTTGTCAGCCGCTCATTCCTTCAGCATCTGCAAGAGAGTTGCCCATAATTATGATGGATTAGACTGCGTCTCTTTGTGCCTACGTGCTGGAATTGTTTTGCAGATGCTGCGGATGTGACATGCATTAATAATTGAGGGAGGCAGACAGAAATCAATGTTTTGCTGGAGTCACCGGAATCTATATGCTTTAGGCAGAGAGAAAGCGTGCAGGGAAAGCAAAAATAAAACCATAAGCTCTGTTTGCTGCTGAACAGAAAAATATAGATCTTATGTTCAATACATCACTTCTATTACTTTATTTAATGACTTTGTTACCAGATCCCAAGTTATGCAATTTGAAGCTACTCTCACAATTTGTCCTATGTATCTTGGATCTATAAGACCTGTTTTTTACGTTCATACTTTTTCAGTGCTGTAAAAATATTTGCAAAAAAGAAATTGCTCAGATGGAACCAGATAGCAATGAACAAATTCCAATGTATGTGTTGCTAACAAACTCTTTAGAGTTGAAAAAAAACATTGTGTAAAGAAGTTTAGCCAGAAGGTTTAGTTAGTGTGGGAAACATTTGTATTCTCATCATAGCTTCATGGCAAAAAGCTTACATGGCTAGGAACCATGATAACAAAAGGCCTCAAACTAGACAACCCAGTATCATTTGCATATTTGACATGACAATGTGTTCAGGGTGAGGAAAAGCACCACTGAACAGCTGACGAGCAGCCAGCTCCTCCTCCCATCTACCATCTGGGACATTAACCTTACATCCTACTGCCTTCAATCAACTGGACTCATGTGTAGTTTATAATATATTCTGACTTTGATATTACAGATAAAACAAAAAGTATCACTCGTGATGTTGAGTGACTTCATAGAACAGTCATGTGGCTGTGAACTGAGGTCAGAATCTAGAAACTGGATTCAAACAGATGCTGTCATCGAATGAATAATAATAATAGATTTATTTTGTTAGCGCTTTTACAGGTGCTCAAAGTCGCTTTAAAGAGATAGGGAAAAGAACGACAAATAAATAGTTCAATTAAAATCAAGCAATACAAAAACAATCACAAATTAAAAGCCAGATTGAAGAGGTGAGTTTTTTGAAAGTGGTGAGGTTGTATCTGTATGTATCTGTATGTCTGAAAAGAAGAAAGAAGCTACTGTTCTTGCATGTTGAACACAATTTTTCAAGTTTCTTTCCATCTGTATTGAAAACTATCAAAGCTATTGTTTTACTACAATATAAATCTAGATTGAGGACAATAGACCTACAATTCTTCCTGTGTCTGTCCAAGAAAGATTGCACTGTTTGGCAAACTGAACCAACTGGTTTCTTTCCAAACATTGTTGTCCTAACACCTTCCTCATAGATCCTTCCCTCTTTTTTCAAAACATTTAAAACAGTTGTAAGAAACAGGAAGACACAAAATTCAGTTTGAGATAAGGGTCTTCAAAAGGAAACACTATTGCGATGCACTCCTGATACTGGGCTCTGAAAAAAATGTGACCTCAAAACCTGGTGTACCTTAAGGAAAACTTTTGATACATTGTCTGTTAAATTTGAGGGATTAGGTCGGGATGAATCCATTTCTAGTGGGTTGTGTTACTTTAATAAATGACTATACTGACATTCCCCTCAGACTTTTACTTAGGGTTCACGATTGTCAGATGATCATGTAAAGTCCCTGCACAGATCTAGGGGGAAAATACAATTCTGCGAGAACTGCTGTGTACCGTATACCATTATGTGTTTGGTTTGCATGGTACATATAATTGTATTGGAAAACAGATGAATAATAATGATGTAAATAAAACAATCTCTTCCTCTTTGTGCCCTGCAGGACGGACAGAGGGCAGCCCTGTGGATGGACTCTGAGCAGGCCAGATGGAAACAGAACAGGCCAGACATGAGACGGAAGAAAGTTTGATATTACCACAATTTGGAACATCTCGCAACATCCCTCACAAACTCCAGAATGGAGGCCAGTCTTCAGAGACTGATTCTCTGGAGAACGCTAGAGATACGAACTGGAACCATTACAAGTCCAGTGCCAACTCCATGAAGAGGCACAGGGAGAACTGCAACAGTCCTGTACAAGGGCTGTTCGATCAAGGACCCTACACGATGAACGGAGAATTGATGAATGGCGAGTTGAAGCATGCACTCAATGAGCAGTCGTTAATGACCCACCAACCCAAGAAACTTAAAGTAGATTCTGGAATGAGAGGAAATGATGACAGTTTGGTGGATAGCTTTCCTGAGTTGACAAAGGCAACAGGGTTTGAACGCAATTCCCCACAGACAGAGATTAAGTTGGACAACAGGAACTTTAATTTTCCCAATGGAGATATTTTTGGTCTGCCAAGAAATAAACAAGGCTCGATTCCAAACGGTGCTCAATCCCCTCCCTCAAACATAGAAGGCACTCCTGGTGATCTGTTAGAAAAAACCTTGTCTCAGTATTATCCTGAGCAAGTGTCAATCGCACCACAAACATCTGGGCAACAGCTTGATGCTGTCAATGGTTCGCTGACAAATAAGTTACCCAGTGAAAGTTCTCAACCTCCCTTAACCTCAGGAATGCCCAATTTAGCTCAGATGCCTGACTCACAGCAACAGCGGCCTGTGGCATCAAGTAATGTTGAAGGTGGCAACAATTATAACTCTGTCAACTTTGTAGTGAATGGATACTCCAACAATTTTGAAGCAGACCACAGGCAGCAGCAACAACAGCATCAGCAGCGAACACCATCTTACTCTGTTCAAGAGGGGTCTCTAGGTCAGCTGCCTGGCATGATGCCAACTGCAAATACTGCCAATAGCTCACAACAACGTCAAAATGGCCCACGGTGCTATCCAGACGACACAAATCGCCAAGGAATATATGCAAAGGCCAACCAAGAGTTTAACCAGAACTCTTTTCTAGAGCGCAATGCTCCTCCACAGGTAACAGAGACCGGTGGATATGGACACTTTCCTAACTCTGGGATACAGAAGATGGGCCAAAGTGAAGAACCCAGGTCTATTCAGCATCAGCGCCATGGCAATGACAGGGGCCAGCAGTATGAGATTCAAGCCCAGACCTTTAAGCGAAATGCTGGGAACTCACATGGTGCTGACTGTACAGGACCCATGGGGCCAAGTCGTCAGCAGCCACATCATGCTGGGTTAGAAAACGGTATGGAGGACACGTCTGAGCTAAGCCCCGACCAGAGAGCCTGGGCAGCGCTGAGCTCTTCACATTCCCAGGAGCAAGCAGCAAGTGCCCAGTCATCCCGGGCACATGAGCAGGGCAGGTGGAGGGGCTTTCCTGCTAAGCCTCAGTCAGAGCAGCAGATAGCTAACCCCCAGGTTCACTGCCAGATGATGGAGCAAAATCCAGTGCGAAGATTCCAGACACAGTCAGGTTTCACAGATAGCAGCAACAGTTTCCAGCAGCAACAGCAGGAACGTCTCCAGGCCCAAACACACAGTGCTCCAGCCCAGCACAACACTGCCCCTGAGTGGCAGCATTCAAATTCGAAAAGACCTCAAATGCAACAGCCCTTACCCCAAAAAATGCCTGAGCAGCGTAATTTCTGCCAAGATCAGCAGGCAGACAGCCACTACCTGACCCAGATGCAGTCAGAGCACTTATGTGAAGACCCTGACCTGCAGGATATACTGTCACCTGGGTTTTCACCAACAAAGCAACAACAGCAACAACAACAACAACAGCACTGTCATCTACAACGTCCCCTGTCTCACCCACCACAATTTGAGGGACAGCCACTCAAGTCTCCCGATTACAGACCCCACAGTCAGCCTCAGCCAAGTCAGCAGCAACACAACCAGCCCCCTAGAAACAATTCTTCTCAATCCAACAACCAACACATTCAGCACAGCGACCGTGCAACATTCAGTTACAATAACATCACAGAGATGCAACAACATCAACAACATCAAAGACAGTTTCCACCAAACCCAGACAGCAGTAACCTCAAGCAATTTCAACCACAACAGCCTAACAACCACTGCCACCAGCCCAACCATGCAGACTTCTCCCAGACCTCCACGCCGCCACAACCTCACTTACCACAAGGCGCGTTAAACCAACAGGTATATGTTAAAGCTGAACAGGAGCTTCAGACATCATGCACTCACTTCCAAAGGGGACCTCGACTACCTCTGGCACCTGTGGGTCCCCATGCAGACTTTCAGAGGCATGCAGCCCTGCGTATGCACCTGTTACAAAGGCAGGAGCGCCAGGGCCCTCCACATCCCCTTCAGAGCACTATTGATCCCAAACATGGCCTGCGAGCTATTAAAATGGAAAACGAACCCAGATTCGAAATGCAGTGTTCTCAACAGCAGGAGCAGCATTTGCAGATGCGAGAGGCAGGCCTAGGTGGAGTGCAGATTAAGCAGGAGAATGAAACAGTCCAGTGTGATCAAGGCAGGCGGCCGGGAAGCATCTTGGCCTCCATGGAACAAAGCCTGAGGCAATACCAGCTTTCCCCCGTGTTTGAGAAGAAATCCCTTATCATCAATCCATTAAATAAAGTCAAGGTGGAATATTCTGGGCCGGTCACCATCCTGTCGACCAACACTGACCTCGGTGCATATGAATCATCACCAGCTGCCCCTCCGGCTGTGGGCCTAAAAAGACACCATGATTTCACCCCGAAGAAGGAACCTCTCTTACAAAGCTTTATGGACTCTCCTATGAAGCTATTGGATACTCCTATAAAGAATCTGCTGGACACTCCCTTGAAAACACAATATGACATTGCATCCTGCCACTGTGTTGGTGAGTCTCATTATGTTGTTTCTGAAATATGATTGATCGGTTGGTTTCTAGATATTAATGTGTGTTTCTTTGATATTTAGAACAAATCAGTGAGAAGGATGAAGGCCCATATTACACTCACTTGGGCTCAGCTCCGAGTGTCGCCGGTATACGTGAGAGCATGGAGACAAGGTAAAGCCCACATTTGATTGTGTTTTAAAAAATACTGTGTTACATTACCACCATTTCTACTTTGTTACTTATCTTTACTTTATTGCCTCTCTTTTTTTTTTAAAGGTCTGGTCTAACTGGGCTTGCAATCCGGATTGAGAAAGTAATCTACACAGGCAAGGAAGGAAAAAGTACACAAGGGTGCCCCATAGCCAAATGGGTAAGAACCAGTATTGTATATTTCATTTGAGGTAAAGGCTTTTCAGCTTCCTTTGTATTTGCCTTTACATACCTACAATTTAGTTTTACCTTTCATGTTTCAGGTGATTCGTCGATCAAGTGAAGAGGAGAAACTACTGGTGTTAGTGCGGGAGCGCAGTGGTCACAAATGTGAGACAGCCTGCATCATTGTAGTAATCTTGGTCTGGGAGGGCATCCAGCCCAGCCTGGCTGACCGCCTCTACCTCGAGCTACGAGAAACTCTAACAAAGCACGGAGCCCACACCCAGAGACGATGTGCAATCAATGAGGAGTAAGTGACAGCAAAACAGAATTCAAGTTTGGCCAAGTGGGCAATAGAAGTAGTTTAAAACAAAACTTTTGTGTCGTCAATGTTATTTTCCCTTTTCAATAACTAAAAAGTCACAATTTGTTCTGAACACTGAGTTCACCTGGGCAAATTGGAACATTAATATTATTCGTTCTCCCTCTTCAGGAGAACCTGTGCCTGCCAGGGGTTAAATCCTGACGCTTGTGGAGCATCGTTCTCCTTTGGCTGCTCCTGGAGCATGTACTACAACGGCTGCAAGTTTGCCCGGAGCAAAATACCAAGAAAATTCAAGTTACTGGGAGATGATGTGAAAGAGGTATAATTCCCCATGTTTATTGTATATTAATTCATATGAATTCAGATGACTAATTTTGGCCGCTTTTTGTCATTCAGGAAGAGAGACTGGAGCACAACTTTCAAAATCTAGCAACCTTACTGGGTCCTTTGTATAAAAACTTGGCACCTGATGCTTATGGAAACCAGGTGTGTAATTGTTTCCACACTTACATCGAAATAATGTATTATCATCAAAGAATATAACAAAAATGTCCTGTTTCTTAAAGGTATCATTGTTTTTCAGATCAAATCTAAAGCAAGCTTTGATTTTATTTAACATGTGTACATGTGAGTGATACTTGCATACAACAATGCACATGGTATTTGCTCAAAGTATAAACATAATGAAGTAGTTTGGTACAGATTTCCTGTCTATATTGTATTGTGACTTCTAAACTCTAAATATCAAATGCACGTCATATGATTCCTGGACACAGGTGGAACATGAACAGAGGGCACCAGATTGTCGTCTGGGGTTCAAGGACGGCCGTCCCTTCTCTGGTGTCACTGCTTGTCTGGACTTCTGTGCACACGCTCACAGAGACCTCCACAACATGCAAGGAGGCAGCACTGTGGTAAGCAAAACCTGGTGGATGGACTGTATATTTATTTAAGTATCTTGTTTTGTTGAGAATAAACTGCAAATTGCAAATCGGGCTTTACTTTAAAAATCCCATTGGAGTTCAAAACAATGTACAAGAGTATTAAACACAAATGTTTTTTCCAGGTGTGCACGTTAACAGGTGAGGATAACCGGGAGATTGGAAAGATACCAGATGATGAACAGCTCCATGTCCTGCCTCTTTATAAGGCTTCCAGCACTGATGAATTTGGCAGTGAGGAGGCTCAACAGGAGAAAATCAAGTCAGGCGCCATCCAAGTCCTCAGTGCCTTCCGCCGTCAGGTGCGCATGCTTTCAGAGCCAGCCAAGTCTTGTCGGCAAAAAAAGCTGGATGCTAAGAAGGCAGCTGCCCAGAGGAATGCCATGCTGGACAATGAAAAGGCAGAAAAGGCCCTCCTGGCCAAGGCAAAAGCTAGCACTTATGAGAGACCTCCTCAGATCACTCCTATTGCAGGTAGGGTAGCATTTATTCTGACATTTTATTATATGTACTTTAAATATAGTATCTCTTTATAGTAAAAAACTTGAGAGCAATTTATTGACAAAAGGTGACTTTGGATTGCTCGGTTTTTTACCTTTTTGTGGTTTTGTTTTCTAGGACCTATCCAAGGTGCTGTGGGAGCAATCCCACAGGCAGGTCAGCCACCACACCCCATGGGGGCCCATCATCAGCAACTACAGCAACTACAGCAACAACAGCAACTACAGCAACTACAGCAACAACAGCACCAAAACATTCTTCCCCCTTATCCTGGCTCAAATGTAGCCGGCTACCCCAGGTTCCCCAACCACCCTGGGTCTTTTCCAAGCACTTCCAGGCCAGGTAGCATGTATCCCCCTCAGCCACCAACACCAACGAGCCCTTACCCCTCTCCTCTTCACGTACCAAACCCTTGCATAAATGGATCAAATCGTCCCTACCCAGGTTATCAATGTAACGGAGGAATGCCCCTGGACAGTTACCATCCGTACTATGCCTCAAACCCCAAGCACCTGGACATGTATCGACAACAGCGGCCAGCGCTTTACTCAGAGCAGCAGTACGGTGTACAGCCACGTTATGAGGTCAATTATCCGCAAAGGTATGGTGATCCAGGTTTACAGGTCAATGGTTACAATGCTTGCGGCATGAGGCCAGTTCACCCTATGAGACCATACTCCCCTTATGGTCCTAATGGAGCCCCAGACTCCCAGTTTATGGACCCCCTCTCAAGAGCACCCTCAGCTCATGGGGGTCTAGACTATGCTGCTGTGAACAAAGGCAATCAGTTTGGAGGATACCCAAATCCATACCTGTCTCGGAGTCCTCAAATCGTAGCTCCAGGCCAAGATCCATTCCATATGCAAATCAAGACGGAGATGGGCTTGCCTCACCCACAGATGCTTTCTGCTCAGATGACTGGTGGGGGTTTACACCCTGAAGCACAGCCAGGGTCAGGTATGCCTAATGGGGGCCTCATAGGCTCTGGTATTAAGCAAGAGCCTGGAACACCACAGACTCCCACAACCCCGCAAAAGCCTGAGGTGTGGTCGGACAATGAGCACAACTTCTTGGACCCAGACATCGGCGGAGTGGCATTGGCACCCAGCCACGGCTCAGTCCTCATCGAGTGTGCAAAACGAGAGCTCCATGCTACAACTCCAGTTAAAAACCCCAACCGCACCCACCCTACGCGCATCTCCTTGGTGTTCTACCAGCACAAAAATATGAACGAGGCCAAGCATGGTTTGTCACTATGGGAAGCCAAGATGGCTGAGAAGGCTCGAGAGAAGGAGGAAGACGCAGAAAAGAACGGTGGCGAGGGGACACCTAGCAAGAGCAAGAAGCCGGTGAAGCGTGAGCTTCCAGAGTTTTTAGAAGCCCCCGGGGGGGAAACTTACCAGCGCTTCATCCAGTCGATAATGGAGGGCTCCATGACGTCCACAACAAACAGCTGTGTCAATACAACACCATACGCCTTCACCAAGGTCACAGGCCCATACAGTCAGTTTGTGTAAGATGAACATTTAAGGTGCTTTATTTATGAAGGACAAAGAACACAAGCCCCACTGGCCTCGTCTAAACACTCCTTCCTATCCGTAAAGTCGGCATCAGTGTTAAAAAAAGGAACCTGTGATCAACTGAGATATGAATCATCTTTCCCATCAGGTCTTTCACTTCTTTAACAATCAAGCTCCGATTGTTGACCCTCCTAAGGATGTATTTATTTTTGTTTGGCAACTTTCGCAAGATACACACTGTCAAAATCTCTGGTGCTTTCAGTCGAATCCATAAGGACCTATTTTTAATGGAAACAAAGTTTCTTTTTTTGTGGCTTTATTTTTCTTACAAAATTCTACTCTTGGCATAAAACACTGACTTTTTGTAAATGACAACATTCACGGTGCTAACGTGTGTGATTGTTACCATTTATTTAAACTCAAATTCCATCATACTATGACAATACCGCACTCTACGAGTGACACTCAATAACTTATCTCAAAAGGACACTGAAAATATCTTCCCAAGGTCAGTCAATCAGCATTATAATGGTTTTTGGCAAGTCAGTGTTTCTCAGAGCACTTTTTAATGATGAGAATTTTATGTTTTAATAATAGTTTTAAATCATGAAATCTGGTTAACTTTATCGTTACATTTAGAATAATAAATTTCTACACACCACTCAAATTAAATTCATAATTTATAACACTGGATTGTATGGTCAATCCGGGAAAATGTTTCAAGGTCATGCAAAAAGATTTTTTTAACTATCATTGTGTTGGTGCTTCTTTCAATTTACTATGTCATTTATACTGTAAATTGAGCCATTCTAATGGTGCTTTTTTTAACATTTTGAGGGGAAAAAAGTCCACATTTGTCATATTCTGTTTTCTCCAGGTTTACTTTGTTGTCAACAACTGTTTTCAATGTTCCTTACCTTGGGCTCATTGAACAAACCTGGACTGTGAATATTGCGTGTAGTTGTATGTCTGTGGTGCTTAGGAAATGTGCTTTTTATACACTGAGGAACATGAAACAGGGTCAGCTCAGTGTCGGTTCAGAGGCAGCTGGCTTGCTGTGGGGTCTTTAATTGTTGTAATCTAACTGTAAGATAAACAGGTGAGATTTGTACAGTAAATTAATTTCTTTTTGGAATTACTGTTATAGATTTTGTGTTGTAAAGAATGATAACAGTCTATTTCATTGTATTACTTTGGGTTTCAACTGATTTTTATATAACAAAGGTGCTATCCAACCTACTAGAAACATACAATGTGAGACTTTTTGAGCAGTGAGAAGGCTTTTAAATAATGTACAGTGCAAACCTTTCATATACCTCAAAACTAGTTTGGCAATAGGATTAAAACATATTTTTCTTTTATCCTTTGTATATTACTTTCAAAATGTGCAACTTCAGGCCACCAACAGCATAACAGTTCATGTTTTACTTTCTCATCTGTCTGCTAGAAAGTATTGCTTGAACTTGAACCTTTGAAGTTACTGTAAAATCAGGGACATTTTCAAATTACTTTGTGTTCATCGTCTGAATTCATCCGGTCATTTTTTAATTCAGGTACTGGCCATTGCATCCTAAATCTGATATATGTCTGCTCCACAAGATACTTTCCTGCAATTTTTTTACTTCTATTAAGTGGGATAGTGTCAATCTTTTAAAAGTAATTTGAACATGCACTGAGTTGACTAAAGGGAAACTAACAAAGCAATGTATTTGCTATGGGGCAGGACCAGGGCAGTGATTAACATAGCTGCACATCTTTGTGCCTGTGTAAAGTTAAATTTATTTATAACCACTAAGCAATTGTATAATGATTTTCCTTCCCTGTTTGATTTAATTAATGCGATATATCATGAAATGACTGTCATATTATAGTAATGACTTACCCCACTCTTCAAGATATTAATTTTCTGAAAGCACTTCATTTCTTTTTCAGGAAAAAAATATGTAATAAAGAATTACAAAACGTTTTATTTAAATAGATTGTAAATGTGTTAAAAAATAAATAAATTATGTCACAATGTACATACCAAGAACCTGTATTGCAGGAATACAACTCATTATTTGATGTTGATGTATGTTCTTCTTGTTCTGTCTAACCGACCCACAGAGCACATCAGCAATCCTCGACATATCTTTAATTATTATTTCGGCTCTTTCAGGTTAACAGAGTGATTACGGTTAGATTACCCAGGAAGTCTCTAAATGTATGCTCACTGTCACAGCAATGTTTACAGTTATACTATCCTGTCAGCTCAGATATTAGAAGTTCTAGTTTTTTTTTTAACTGTTTCAATTTTGTATAAACGAATATACATTAAAAATGTTGAATTTCCTTGTACAGGACCCAGCTACAGTAGCAGGTTGATGTTGAGAAAGCCAAGGTGTCTAAGATGTAGCGGGTTTAAAAGCATAGCCATACTTGAAGATGCTTGGGAGTGTTTCTGAGTGAGTCAACATTACTTGAATGACTTTCGGGGCTTAACCAGTGCGCTAACACGTGCTCAGCTCAAAGGTCAAGCTAGAAGTTGAAGCACACTTGGTCTTTTTGCAGTTAGACACTAAGGGTATAAAAAAAATGTGCAACTTTTTCCCTGTCGTATTTTTTGAGCGTTCCCTTTGTTCTCCTGAAGTTTGGTATGCTACGAAAATGGAATTAAGGATGGTTATTAATACTGTAAGTATTGTAATGTAATGAATGCAGTTTATTTGAAAGCTGTTAATTATATCATTCCTGATATTGCTGAGATGTGGGTGTTTTTTTAATAAAATTTATATTTATTTAAAACAATTTTACTTGTTAATACTAGTAATTAAATTATTGTGCATTATTGTCCACATGCTGACGTTTTGTAGTAATGGATGAAACTAGACAGACGATACTTTATCAATGGATTTTTTTTATTTGATTTAACCAAAACGGAAAGGAACCGGTGTTACAAACAAACTGCGTTATGGTTTCTCGCAGAAACTGCTTAGCCCAATAAAAACCTTATCATGACTTTAGTCCCATATAAGGCTGGACCTGGACATTTGACACAAAAAAACTGCAGAAAATATACAATATCATTTACAATTCAATGGAAAAGGAGATACATTTTTTGGGGGGGATTAACCTCTGAATTAAAAATATTATTATAAATCAATCTGGTGTCCAACATAACACTAAAAAACATCCCATACAGATCTTCAAGTCCTTTGTATGTCCAATACATTTTTTTACTCCAAATGATTGGGTGATAAACTCAGATGGCACTTTTTACAGCTGAAAATGTGTCCTTACCAAAAATCAATCAAGCTGCATTCAAAAGTGTTCAGCTGCTTCAAGTTGGTTTCCATGTTGTCTTCAGATCCTCAGACAAAATGCCACTTGCCCACTGTGCGAGCGAGAGAAGATTTAGAATAAGAATAAAAGCATTGAATCATAAAAAAACACATTTAATGCAGGTTAGACTTTGTGTACTTACATTCTGGACACGCAACATGTGTGCTGTCGAATGCAGGGGCCTGAGGGGTCAAACATTACACAGGAGAATTACTAAACATAACTTATACACCGTTTTATTTAAAAGTATTATGTTTGCTATCATATTTGTTGAAACACCACAAGCATATGGAAGAACTCACCGATTCCACCACCTCTTTGGCCTCTTCTGCACTGCACTTAGAGGGGCTCTCACAGCAGGAGATATTTTTGCTATACAAAAAGAAAAGTTGTGTTCATTCACCAAACATAGCTAATTACATACTTCACTTCACTTTACACTGCAGGAGTTTCACCTCCTACCTACCATGCGATGCCTGCGCTGTTTGACTTCTTCTGCACTAGTGCCCTCCAGTGCTCATGGGTAGACATTATGATCTCAACTGCAAAGTCCTATAGGAGAATACATACAAAAAAACACATCATTTGATTTCATAGGGAGCAATACATTCAATTTAAAGGTCCCCTATCATACTGTTTTTCATCCATTTATTATAGGTCTCAGATATATACAGAACATGTCTCTGAAGTGTTTGGCTCCAAACACAAAAACAGATCATCCCATAATCCCCTCTGTTTCAGCCCTGTTTCAAAAGTGCTGATTTTCTGTCTGTTACTTTAGATGAAAATAAGGAGCCCCTCCCCACGCCCCTCTGAGAGATATTTGGTTAAAAAGAACACATTGGTGCTCGAGGAGGAGATTCAGGTGATAAGGTGGGGGTGGGGGGGGTTACCTTGGTTGGTGATTGGCTAATGGTTACACAAGCCAAAACATCGTTATGACATCATAAAGTGGCCAACATCTGATCAGCTCATTTTCAGACAGGTTTTTATATAAATGGATCAGGACAAAAAGAACGAGAATCTTTGTTCCTGGTGGGTCTCACTCAGGAAAGATGGCGCTATTTCACTTGCTGTGTTCTACACCAACATTAAAAGGAAGAGTGGAAACTTGGTGACAAGGGTCGTGGACTACGGGGACGACGCGAATGGTAGGCATCGCAGGCCCTCGAGGTGCGCTCCACTCCTTGGATCGTTTGAGGGTGTGTAGCTAGTTCGAGCGGGGTGTGGTCGACCGCGAGAGGTTAGTTGACCCATAGTTCCGCGAGCTGTCGTACATTGGGAGGTCCGGGTTAGTTAGCGAGATTGGGTAAACACGGATGCACTTGCTGTGGTAGACGCAGGTAGTGGTAATTGGTGGGCAAGTTTTACTAATAACTGAGTCGGTTGCCTAGTTGTAAGCAGGAGGGGGCGCGTCCTTGACGATGGAGCAAGTTTCCAGACCCGTTGAGAGGGTGCGGATATGGTGTGATGTCTGTGCCATCGTGTTCTTAGGCCTCACTGAGGGCCATGTGTACCTAGTTGCCGGTGGTAGATCATCTGTGACTCACCTGGAGATATGGGCCCTTCGACATGTTGGGTGAGTCATGTGGTGGTGTGTATTGTGGCCGTTGTTTTGGTGTCGGTACGGCGTCTCGTTGGCGCGTGGGCGAATACATGGTGCCAGTTGTGGCGGTCTGTAGTCGGTTTACGGTGGTACGGACCATTTTCGTCGGACGATCCTTTTCGAATTCAACAACTTTTATCGTAGGCACCGAACCCACGTTACTGGTTTTAGACTGATAAGATTTACTAAGGACAAGAAATTTCAGTGCATAATACGTTTTAGGTGAACAATGTATCATAAGATATGTGTTGATGTTTTGAGTCGTGTGTGCGCCTGCTGTGCGCGCAAGGGAAGCGTACCGTTTCGAAAGTTTGTAAGTGTGTCGGGTCTTGTTTCTAAGGAGGGAGAAAACGGACGTGAGTGTCAGAGGATATGATTGTTTCTTGGGACGAAAGCTCGTTACTGACTCGGTCGTAGAAGGCACGCGTGTAAATGAGTAGCGTAGTGCTAATAAATACTCGCGATGTAATCGGTTAGTGTTGGTTGGTGGTTATATGGGGGGGGGTAGAATAGTGGACTTAGGGAGGAGCTCGGGTAACACACAAACAAATTGGTTTATCGCGAGTCTCCCATCAGCTCTCTCACTCCGTCCGAGGAATAATGGAGAGCTAGATTTCAGTTTTGTGTTATGTGTGTTATATAGTGTGTGTGTGTGTGTCGCTTGATATGTATGCTTGTGACTAGAGCAGAATCTGTGTTTTTTGGTTGTTGAGTGTGTGTGTAGACTGTAGAAAGGCGATGTAATTGCATAGGACTCTGGTAGTATCTCGAGTATAATACTATTTTGGGGCATATTGGGTTAGGGTCGCGCGCGCGCGTGCGTGGAAATATAGTTTAAACTAGACACGGGGGGGTGGGACGTAGCGGGATGGGAAGTTGGTTAGCGGGACTTGAACGTTGATGGGTGTCACTTCACTTAGTTTATTAATTGTAAATGGACACACAAGGTCTAGGGACTTCACGTTCAGTTTGCATAGTGTAGGAGATTGTCCAAATAATACAAAGAAAAATCTCGGAGCTGCGAGGCTCTATATAGGCAAGTGGCTCCACTGACCTCGCTGTTGCTTACCTTTGTGTGTTGGGAGTAATTTTAGTGGCCATGGCGAGAGTGGGTTGGGTGTGGATGGGGTTGTCGTATGAGTCTGTGTGTTGAGGTCTCGGTCTCGGTACGTTGGGTCATGTGACGTGCGTGTTAAGTCATCGTCCTTTTGTTGGCGACTCAATCTCCTCTCTCGCGACACAAATGGATGGTCATTTACGGATACGCTATTTGTGTTTATATTTCGTTGACCACAAGAACCCGATGCGTTGTTGTAAAAAAAGGGTTTAGTATGTATGATCTTATTTCTGTGTGTTTTTAGTGTCAATCGGCGTTAGTAACCATATGTGTGTGTATAAAATTTGGTAGTAAGATCATTTATTAGTGTCGATTGTACAGTAGTGGGCTTCTGTTTTCATTGACCCTTGCTGAAACTTCCAATGTCTATTTTGTGTGTGTGTAAGATGTTGTGTTTGGTGTCCAGTGGTGTCTAGTTTGTGTGAAAAGTTACAAGAAAATAAAAATTGGTTTTGTAGTGTTTTTTTGTATGTACGATGTGTAAATTACAATTAAGTGTTAGGGGTTTGGTGTTCTGCGGTTACTTTGTACACTTCCTAATATTTAGTTCACTAGGAAATTTCTATTTCATTTTTTCTCCACCAACATTAAAGGAAGAGTGTAAATTTAACAAAGTGGTCGCGGACTCGGGGACGACTATACTTCACCATGCCACCCTTCTTTGAAGGTAGTACTAGTCGACCTTTTTGAGTCACGGGTTAGTGACCATAGTTGCTGTGTACATTGTCGGTTGTTACAATTGTGGTAAACCACGACGAAGTTTGGTAGACCTGGCTAGGGTATAAGTTTTTACTATCATTATTATGTAAGGTCTGGTTGTGTTCTTTGTTGTCACACCAGAATGTTGCGGAAGTGATCTTCCACTTTCCTGCCTCCACTGAGAGGGACTGTGGCCGTTGTAGACACTGTGACTCACTGGAGGATGGTACCTTGGCATTGTTGTACGTCATAGATGAGACACCTCTGTCGGACCTCTCGTCGGGAAGGAATTCATGTTTCAGTTGTTGTCGATCCTTATTGGTGACGGTCTATTTTCTGCAACAATTCTTTCGAATTCACAAACTTTTTGTAGGTCCTCTATGTTATTGTTTCTTTGTGATAGATTCTAACGGGCAGAAATTTCCAGTGCATAATACGTTTTAGGTGTAACGAGTCAGAAAATATGTAGTTTTACACAGGGGAGACACATTTCTGTAAGACTTCAATAGTCCTTTTTCTAAGGAGAGAGAAAAAGGACTAGTGTAAATATATTTTGGACAGCTTTTATGTGTCTAATTCTTGGTATTTTACAGTATTGCTAAAACCACACATTGGTAATTTGTTGTTAGTGGTTGGTTCCTATTGTGTGGTGTTGTGGTGTGTGTTGGAATAGTGGATTTAGAGAGGAGCTCGTGGTAACACACAAAAAATTGGTTTATAGGTAGTCTCCTCCGTTCCTTCACCGAGGAATTAAAAGTAGATTTCAGTTGGTCTGTCTCTTAGTGTGAAAACTTGTCCCCGACTTTGTTCCTCCCCTAAATACCTACGATGTTACTAGACAAACCATAAACTCGGTTTGTGAAGTCTCTGTACTAAACATATATAGACTCTTGGTATTAATATAACTCCTTTTTGTCAATTATGCCTGGGAAATTATAGTATTAAACTAGTACACGGGGGGGGTGGAGACGTAGCGGGATAGATTATGTACAAACTGAACGTGTTCAACCTTCACTATTTCTTATATTGTGTTGACACACAGTCTTGGAACTTCGCAATTCAGTTTGCGAGTGTAGGAGATTGTCCAGTACTTACAAGAAAAATCTCGGACTGGAGGCTCTATATAGGAAAAGTGGGCTCCCTGACTCCTTGTCACGACACCTACGTACACCAGGCGGGGGAGGTACCATTTAAGGCCGATGGCAGGAGAAGGACTTGGACAACTCCCGAGGGTTGGTTTTCGACGCGGACGGGCGGGCGGAGAGAGTCATGTGGGAGGACTCGGACTCCGGACGATGGGTCATGTGACGATGCGATGTAAGTCTCGTTCCTCTTGTGCGACTCATCTCCTCTCTCGCGCACAATGGTGGGTTCATCACAGGACTACGCATATTTGTGTTTAATGTTCGGACAAAGAACCCGACTCGTTGACTTTTTACAAAGGGGTTTTAGTCTTATATCTGATAGTTATAGTTTTAGTGTCAATCGCGTTAGCAACATTTTCCATCTTATAAACTTTGGTAGTAAGACTATTTTATAACATGTTGACCGGATTTTCGGACCAGATTTTAACAATAAAAAGAAGGTCTTGCCGGACCATACCTTCATGTGACCCTTGACTGAAACTCCATGTCTATTTCCACTCCTGTTAGAACAACGAGAGATGTTGTTTTTGGCTGTCCAGTCGTCTATGTGTTGTGTGAAAGTACAAAGAAAAAAAGGTTAAGGTGTTTCTTTATGTCAACGAGTTGAATTACACAACAAAGGTTAGGGTTTGGGTTTTCGTCGGATACTTGTACACCGTTCCTAATATTTAGTTCACTAGGGCAAATTTTCTATTTCATTTTTTTACACACATTTAAAGGAAGAGTGTAAATTTAACAAAGTGTCGGGGATAGGGACGACTTATACTTCACCCCAATGCCACCTCTTGGAAGGTAGTACTAGTCGACCCTTTTTGGTCACCGAGGTTAGTGCCATACGATGCTGTGTACATTGTCGGTTGTACAATTGGGTAAACAACGACGACAGTTTGGGTTAGACACTGGTAGGGTATAAGTTCGTTACTATACATATATACAGAAGGAGGCGCGTCCGATAGCACACCAGATGTGCGGAAGTGATCTTCAACTTATCAGCCTCCACTGAGAGGGACTGTGCCGTTGGTAGACACTTGACTGCACTGGAGGATGGAACCCTTCGACATGTGTAGTCATCGATGAGACACCTCCTTGCGGACCTCTCGTTCCGGGAGGAGAAACATCGTCCAGTTGTGACGACCTTTAGGTGCGGACCATTTTCTGACAACAATTCTTTTTCGAATTCAACCAACTTTTATCCGTGGCCCCACCAACGTGGACTGGTTTAGACTGATAAGATTATCTAAGACAAGAAATTTCAGTGCATAATACGTTTTAGGTGAACAGTACAGAAAAATATCGTAGTTGTACACAGGGAGACACATTCTGTTAGANTTCAGACACACAAACTTTTCAACTTTCAAACTTAAGCGGTGCGCTCCCAGCGCACGTACCGGCAGTGATCTACAGCAGCGGTTTTCAACCAGTGGTACGGGGACCCGTACCACTGGTTGAAAACCGCTGCTGTAGATCACTGCCGGTACGTGCGCTGGGAGCGCACCGCTTAAGTTTGAAAGTTGAAAAGTTTGTGTGTCTGAAACGCTATGTGATACAGTACAGTTTACACAGCACAGTACATGTTCTGTAGCTACTATTGCACTAAATGGTAACACTTGAATACGTTATGCAAATATGCAACTTGTTTGTTGAAATGTTAATAAATGGGAGCTTCCTCAAACAGCCATCTCTTTCCCGACAATCCCCTCTGTGCACGAACCCTTACATATGGTAATTAAACATTAAAACACCTGCGGCTTATAGTCCAGTGCGGCTTATATATGTACACATCATTCAATTTAGCTGCTGCGGCTTATATTCAGGTGCGCCTTATAGTCCGAAAATTACGGTACAAACGTTGTTTAGTATTTATAGTGTCATAGCTAACTTCCCACTTGCATCCAGACAATTTGAAGAAAGTTTGCAGAAGCTAGACTTCCTTTTTTTGCTTGTTTCATTTCAACAGTATTTGATCCCTAACTAAGGACAACAGAGTGAAACCCAAACAGTGAAAGTGAATTAGAGAAAAGCAGATCTGGTCACTGTGGTGTCAGTGAACTGTGGCTAAAAACCAAAACGTTGTTGGAAAAAAAGATGTACAGGAAAATGTTTTAAAACATGTGCCCTAACCTCTACAGCCATCTCAGAGAACTTCTCCCCGGCCTCTCGAACGACGTCCCCCAGCCTGAAGATGGGACACAGAGGGTCTCCTCCTCTCTGACAGCTTCGCAGGTAGGCGTCGTTCATGTTCGGGAGGATGTTCCTTCTACAACAAAAGATGGACTTTAAAATACACAGAAACCAAAAAATGATAAAAATAAATAAATTAGCTCAATGCTTAAACAGTTTGATGATATGCAAATGAGAGATGAAGAATTGTAAATAAACCCAGCCAGAGGAGAATAGTACCATTTTTTTAAATAGTTGCACCCCGACTATTTTCCCACAAATATCATCTCCTTTACTACAGAATATATACATTCTTACTTTTTATGACATTAATATTTCTCAAATATACATTAAGGTGTGAGGAACAACATACTTTAAAGCTAATTCAGTGTGTTGAGGTTTTTCTCAATGTTTTTTTAAGATTTAAACTGCGGCACACAAAGCTGTCTAAAGTTAAGAAACTGTTTCAATGTACATCAACATACAGCTGCCTCACCGGATGTAGTTGAATGCAGGAAACCTGATATTGTTTTTGATGAGGACGGTGAAGTTCTCAGCTGCTGCCAGCAGTGCAGGCCTGCATCAAGGACAATTATGAACGTTATGCAGTACATTTTCATTGGGAAACACAGATTAAGAAAAATACTCTAAAAAGCCTCTGCAACATCAGCAAACAGCAGAAACTTGTTGCCGATGTAGATAGTGTAGCATTTAGCAGCAAAGGGAACAGATTTCCCTCGGAAGATGGTGGAGACCAAAAATAGAGCTAAAAGAGAGACAATGCGATACACTACTGTAAATGAAAAACAATGTGCAACTTAAATGTTATGATGTCAGTGTTGTGTTCACAATGTGTGTTATATAGGTTTTAGGCATGTAAATGGTCTGCAAAGGCTCAAATCCCAAACTTCACGCAAGAGGCCCCCATCACATCTTGGGAGGGAAATCTGTTCCTTTCTCTGCTAAATGCTACACTATCTACACCGGCTAGTGTCTAACAATGTCTGCTGTTTGCTGATGTTGCAGAGGCTTTTTAGAGAATGTAACTAAATGATGTGTCTCATATTCTCAATCACAACAGAACAACCAATCGGAGCACACTGGGCTCTGGTTTCAGGGTGAAAATTGGTGCAGCAGAACAGGCAGTGTGAGAAAAATAAAGACCTTTTTGAACATTAAAGTATGTAAACATGTCACAATAGAGTCACAAAATACAAATATGAACCTGTAAATGTGCATCATATGTCCCCTTTAAGTTATATTTTGTTGTATTTGTTTTTCAAAATGATATCAGAGGATGAAGTTAAAGAGGACACCATTCTCATGTTCAGGTTCATATTTGTACTTTGGGTTACAACTAGGGCATGTTTGCATGCTTCAGTGTGTTATTTAATACACCCGTACCCACCCTCTGACTGATACGCTCTATTTTAGCGCATGCCTCTTTAATTACCCTTCTGGAAATGCCAAGTTTGCTTTGATTGGCTTGCAAAAATATATATTCTGCACATTAACAAGCTGTGGGTGGAGACCCCTCCAATGGGGGGCAATATTCTAATGAGCCTGTATTTGATATGGCTTGTTGAATCCCATGTTTTCTGATTGAGGCAGCTCACAAAAAGACTTGCCCAAGTCAGTGGGTTGTTGGGCACTTCAGATAAATACAGTAAATGTATGTGCAGTTTACCTCGGAGGACTCCGCTTTGTTTCCACTGGACACCAGGCAGAGACCTCGCAGGTTTTCCTCAACACGTCAAACTTCACACATGATCCCGTCTTAATCCCTGTACAGGGAAATAAACAGTGTTGTATTTCAACTCAACGGATTCTGTCACAACTCAGTTAGAAAAAACGTAGAATATAAGGTGTTTAAAGTTCGACTGTGGCACAAATCTTTAGCAGAGAGCTGAAAGCTACTGCCTGAGGATAACACTGCAACACGTTATCGATAAATTCCTCTTCCTCTTGTGAAAACTGGTGTTAAATGAAACTTACTCACTTGGGAAAAGAATGTGTTGGCAGATAAGACAGAAGTGAGATATTCAATAAATTATAGTCACACAAAGTTGCCTCTACAAGTCTAAATAATTTGCTTTCAACAGCAATATTTTTGACTTGTATCAACACTATTGTAATAATTACATTTTTCTTCCAACTAAATTAGTGGACAATGCTTCCAAAATGAGGTAAAACAGAGTAAACAGATCTGTTGCATGCAGCGGTGGAAAGTAACTAAGTACATTTACTTATGCACTTGACTTAGGTGCAATTGCTTGTTGAGCATTTTCTGCCACTTTCTTTAACTCCACTACACTTCAGAGGGAAATGCAATGAACACATAAACTACGCTCTATTATTTTACATTTAAATAAAACTTTATTGACCAAGGGTCAATAAAATAACCCCCACATTTACAAGATGCAACATTGGATGGATAAACACATTATTGCATCAATAGTTATAATGCAATGTTTCATTTTGAAATTAGTTATTTGACTTTAGTTCATCAAGTTTACGTTGATGCATATTCTTATATACTTTATGTTTTGTCGGAGTTCTTCGGCACAATGGTGTTAAAACTTTTACTTCAAGAAGGCTAAATCTAATTTCAGGTCAATACTACAGAAACCCACATTTCATTTACAATAAAAAAAATGCTGCAAGAAGCTCAAAATTGAAACAGGACCACAAAAAAGTGACCATTGGCTTGTTGATGTTCGCGGATTATAAAGTAGGCAAACTGTCACTGTTTGCAGAGTTAGTCTGTTTCATAATTGTGACAGCATATTTGAAATGGCTAGGTTAGCTACGTTAGCTAGCTAATTTACAGCAGATCCGCAATAACATTTGAAGGAATCATGCGATCACTTTGTCATAAGCCAAAAATGTATTACATTTCAGGTAAGTTTCCACTGACAGTTTTCCAACTTTATAATCCCCGAACGTCAACAAGCGCTCCGGTCCCAGCTGTGTGCATCACTTTTTATTGTCTACCGTTTTGTAATTGCAGCGTTTCGTTCATACAGGGCTTTTAGAAACATTGTTGGTGAAGATGTTTCTTTAGCTGCATGTGTTTTGGCAGGTGTTGTTTATTATATTTGCATACTTTTTTGAAACTGCAGCGTGTTTCTCAGAATGGAAACGTTTTGAGCCGTTGCATCGCGTTTGCACCTGTAGGCCACATCCTTTTTTTTTTTTAAACTGTGGCTTTATATTGAAAAAAGAAATTGCAATCTTGAGCACTGTCTTTGTCTCTTTTTCTCCCGCATCTTGACAAATCTTCTATCATTGGTTGCATGTATAGTAGGCTTTACATTACCCAGGTTACTACAGTACTGTAAGTTGAGTGCATGTAAATGTAGAGAAGGAGCAGTGAGTGTACCGTGGCTCTGCTGATCCCAGCCTCCTTTCTCACAGTCCTTATCAGTGCGACACAAGCTGCCTTTAAGGGGAACCTGGAATATAAACACTGCTGCGAAATAAGTAATAACCTTTCATCGGAATCATTGTACAATTAGGAGCACCTTTAACTACATAACATGTAATCAATAAGATGTTAAAAAAGAGCACCTCTGGGCATTTCCCCTGCTTCTGATTCTTTGTCATGAGGACATTGGTCACCACAAAGAAGGAGTTTTTTTCCTGAAAGTCAGAAAAGAAAACATAAATACTGCTCTTTACCAAAGACCTAAAAGAGTGGTAGGAATGAGTGATAAAGCCTGGACATGACTTAGCATTTTACCAGTTCTGGATCTCTCTTCTGAAAGTCAGCGTTTTTTCTTAACGTGTTTTAGTTGGCCTCCTAAATAGGGTCTGTAGTTAACACAAGCTAAAGAAATGTTTGCGTTTTGTTCTACAACATTAAATATGTCTGCAATTACCTTAAGCTTCTATGTGTTATAAAATGGGCAATTGCTTACAAAGCGACTAACTGACACTACTAAACGTAAACACGCAGAATATTGGCTGCTTAACGCTAGGTAGTTAGCTGGTAGTTTGCTTATGCATTACGTTACGATACTTCAAAAATCACAAAGAAAATGTAATGGGGTTATAATGCTGAAAATACATAAGTATCATGTTTGCCACAGATCTTACTTTCAAACCCTAAAGATTTTTGTCAATGGAGCCCTTAGCCGCTTTCACACCGCAGGACTTGCCGTACTTTAGTGCCGGCACTAAAGTACCACGGCACTGAATCCGCCAGGTGGCTAGTGCCAATCGCATTCACACCGCAGTACTTTCCCTGAGGCAAGATTACGCTGACGTCACTTCGTCTGCTTCTTCTCTGGGTTTACTGGCAGGCAACAAAACCACTTCACGGCGAGTACAAAAAAAAACGAGAGAAGAAGAACTACACGGGGGAGGGGGTATAAAGCCCACCCGCTGTACATGATATATATATATATATAGGTAGGCTCAGCAGACAGACCGTAGTGCAAAGATAAAGTGTCACATGATTATCTACTAAATAGTGAATTCAGCATCAACTTCACCAAGATGAAGTTCATATCTTCCTAAGATACGTGTTACTTTATGTCCCTCAAACCAACAAAATGTCCAAGCAAAGAATCATGTGCACCATGAGGCTGGGTTATAAGGGTAATTTACAAATAAAATACCCCATTATAACAATGGACTTTATCTTTATGTATTTATTATATATTACCCCCTCAGGCTGATTTTGGAAAAGGACATTAACCGTTGTTTGTTGTTTTTCACTTATTTATCTAAAACAAATGACATGATAAATTACTTGTGTTTCTGCCCCTGCCATTTCTACACAAGGTTGCAACATTGTAGATAAATTCAACCACCGACACCTGTCTGCTCTCACATTCTTCTATTCTGCAAATTTGGGGTGGGACACAATAAATAAAGCTTCGCCAGTTTGTTTGTTTTATTGCACAGTCAAGACATAACAATAATGGCATCACGCCGCTCAAGTAGCTTTTGCGAACATCGCTGAAAACATTTGGAGTTGGGAACTGCTTTCTGTAGAAGCTGCTGCATCCCGTCCTCAGAGTAAATTGCCAGAAGCGCCGACACTTCCTCATCATTCCACCGCTCCGGTGTTGTAGTACGTGTGGTCATAACTGCTTTAAAGTACAAAAAACTACTCGCTCAGGTGTGGATGTGGTTTTGTAGCGAGGAAAAAATGGCTGCCTAACAAAAAAATTCAGAGTTTAACGGGGCGTGGTTTGCAATTCGCCCAGCCAATAAATGGTAAATGGACTGTACTTATATAGCGCTTTAACCAGTCTTTTAAGACCCCTCAAAGCGCTTTACATACTACATGTCATTCTAGGCATCGAGTAGTGGCGTAGTGACAACTGGGCACAAAAGCAAGCGACAAGCAAACGCAGCAAGTCGACTGCGGCCGAGGCAACGAGTGACTCGACGATCGTCATGACGATCCACGATCACAGCCGCGTCGCCCACAGAGTCCGAAGTCTACCCGAACGCGTATCGTCCACGTAAACATACACATGAAGTCATGTCGACATGTGTTTGACTGTTTGAAAAGTGACACCGTCAACCATGTAGAAGCAACTTCTGACGGGTATGGGTATTCTGGGGCTACGAAGCCTGCAACAAAACCGGGCGCGTCACAAACGCCGTGCGGAGCAGGGAATGGAGTTAAAAAAGTGCTGAATCAGCTGATCCCAGGATGTCGGCGCGCTGGATCCATCCATTTCCAACAGCTGATCAGCTGATCAGCTAATCAACCACCTTTTGGGGATGCGTGTCGCGCTGTTTCTTTTCGGACGTTAACAGTTGTAAAGGTAACGCCCCGCCACATAGTGCCGATCGGAGGACGATTCGAGTACAATTATTATGTTTGGCTCTTCTGGGCAACATTTTAGTTAGTTCTAAAGTCGCTCAATCTCATAAAAACACGAGTCTAGTGCTAGTGAGATGTTGTCCGGATGGTGAATTGCGGCTTAGTCTCATTGACAATCTGACACCGTTCTAGCCCGCGGCGGCCAGTCCGATGCGACCTTTTTAGAATGGGTACTCGGGTAGATTCGACAACATCATAATCGCCGGCCCCTGAGCGTTAATTTTTTTATTAGATTAATCTAATGTGCCGAAACATTAATTAATGTCCAGCGACTGAATTTAGCGGTAAAATAGCGGGTGATATTTATAAACTGCGACCTCTTGTCAGCTCTTCGTTAAAAAAAGTGCTACCTAAAATCGCATATGGTACATTATTACTGACTTATTGTACTTTCGAATTCGTAGTTTTGTAACCGAAATAAAAAAAAATACACCAAGAATTGGCTTCGTGGTTGTCTTTTCACGGTTAAAAACCGGTATTTCACATCGTTATCGTGATAAATCCTTATTATCATGTAAAGTCTCTAAGTCCGATCCGGATATTCCATCCATCTGGAAGACGATTTGCACTATTGTGAAACAAAAAATTCAATTATCTTATGAAAGTTCATGTAAGTCTTTGTAACCCTTTGGGACTGATAATCTTTTGTAGAGAGACAACGGAAGTCTCCGGTATTGTCTGAACAACTAAATGGTTGTCTAACCCTAAATTTTTTAGAATTATGTAAAGTCAAGGTTGAGAGAGGTCTATTGGAACCGGTTTGTTATTTGTCAAGTTGTATTTCACGGTCAACGGTGTGTTGCGATTATTTAATCGAAGCTTGTATTTCACATTGGTAAACTTTTTTTTATTTTTGCTTCACGGCTACCAAACACATAAAACTAGGAGAGATTAGGGAGGTATAAGAAGGATTAAGAGGACATACTTATTATATATTATATAAAAGAGAGACAAAACAGATATATAATCGAGAGAAATAGACAACCACAAGAGATGCGGCATACAACCACACAGCACCCAGAGAAACAAACACTAGAGCACGCAACAACCGGGATTGCAGGTGCGGATCGATAGGAGCGGCGATCCGGGAGCGATTACAAAACGATAACTCACTCATGAACCCGACTACACGGACGAAAAAAAAAAAAAAACACTACGAAAAACAAAAAAATCTCACACTATTACCGGCTTAAGGCAAAACGTATAAACGTTTGTTTGGCGACTGGAACCGAGAATAGCTGCGACAGGTAAGGCAGGCAAAAAATTTTTGTTTTACAGGGTAGGTGCCGGGGCCGGTCTTGGTTTCGCCCAGAGTAGTCGAAGAAGCAAGTGCAAACTGATAACTAAGTGACACCAAACAACGAACAGACTTCACTTAACTTGCAATCAACCGACGAGGTAACTATTAGCATGGGGATTTGAGTAGTCGGACTCTTTGCAAGGCGACCACGTTTTTATTCGCACGCTAATTTTACGCGACAATTAAGAAACAATTGCCGCAATTAACAAACACATTAATTCGCAATTAATTGCGCAATTTCAGGCCGGGAATCCAAATATATAACCTTACCATGTGTTGTGATGTGTCTGTATGGAGCGCGCGGTGCGGGTGGACTGGCTGTGATGCCACCGACTCTTCGCTACGATCGACGTCCGGCGCTACTGTCGACCTCCACACTTTCGGTTCCCGGGGGTCTTCACGCGGCCTCAGAACTACTCCGACTTCATAAGCACAGCCCGGTTTGCGCGGCCCGGAATGATGTGAATGGAAGTCACGACGCGGGCCTTTGTGAAAAAGGGTAATGACATGTAAGCCGCTTTCTCACCAGACATTGATGCAACCTATTATTAAAAAAATTTGATTTGATTTAGATGGGTCATACTTGCAAACATATCGGGAAAATTTTTTGTAAGCACAGGAGAAATCACGTTTTACACGACTTATTGCATAAGACTCTCAATAAAAGGAGTTCGTAGAGCTTACTTGCGCGTAGATTGGCGCTCGTCGCTGCGGCGCGGCGGGCCGGTGCAAGTACAATGCACAAGGTTCAGTGATGTACTCAAAGAGTAAATGGGTACCATACGTGTTATTGTTGCCTGGTATCAGCTGAAATGACGGTCGGGTGCCTCGAACATGTATTACTTCTGATATAACGTGTACAAACGACGGGATTAAGTAAGTAAACATTGTGTAGTAATATGCAAGTGTACCCGACATACGTACATTTAGAGCAGTTAAGCGAAAATTGCCCATCACTGGAGATTGGTGGCAATCACAGCACAGTCCACCCGTGAGCAACACACTCCACCCGCACATCATTATTCCTGAACAAACGTCTGTTCGCGTCTGACCGGCGGTCTGGACGTCGCGTTTAAAGGCTAGTTGCAGAACGATTCACGCGACGTACTACGCAATCAGTAAAATCGGCTGAACGGAGCTCCGAAGCAGTGTACCTCTGCCAACTTTAGAGGCGCTGTTTCTGCCGGGCGGTTCGGAACTCTCGCTCCGGCGCCGTCGCCGCCGGCGTCAAGGTAGAGGTGTCCGGACGCGCTTTTCGCTTATACGAACTACCCTTTGCTGCAGCTGACCCAAGAGTCTCACCGCACTCGGCAGAGTACCAACCAAAAATGGTGCACGACCCAGACTCTCTTTGGAGAAGGTTAACCGAGCCGTTTTCAACAACGAACAACAAAAACACATGTTTTGCAAAGGGCCTGATGGCACAAAATGCAGCGGGGGAGGTAATTGTAAAAAGTATTAACAAGGTGTTACACATAGTAGTACTTTGAATTTCATAGATCGATATACAATATGATATGAACCGTGACGAATAGGCAAAAGTATCGCAAATATAACGAGCATCGTATACAGTATGTGCTGACGAAGTATGACGAGTGTCACAGTAACAATAAGTATGGGGAATGACAAATAAGTAGGTAAGTTAAGACTAAGGATGTACAAAATAAGACATCTAACACATGTAATGAAAAGGTGAAATGACGATGAACCAACGGTGAGGACCAACGTTCGATTGACGTAAAGCAACCGAGGTGGCGGATGGACGAGTTATACGACGGTGGTATGTGTTATTTCAACTTAGATTAGACTGTCCTGTGTTTCCGGGCGACATAGAATCGGATTCATAGACTGCTAATCTGCGATCTATTGTTTAAGAGATACACACACATAGACGCCAGAGGTATTTACGCTTTGGCCTCCGTTCGGCTGAGGCCTCGCTCTATCTTCGACAAACGAGGAAAAGTCCCATTTTACTTCGACTTTACCGCCACAAGAAGAACGGGAACGAGAATTGTGTTTAAAACAGCGTTCGCCCACCGCGCTTACGTGTGAATTTTCAACAAACTGGTTAGGCGGTCTTTTGGTCATCTCTCTTCTTCTTCCACTTCTTCTTCTTCCGCTTCTTCTTCTCGTTTCTTCTTCTTCTCTCCGGCTGAGCCTCCCGAACTGGCTGGAAAGGAGACCGACACAGAAATAACTCAATAGGAGAGAGAGGGTGGACCGCATTCGGCTAGCGCGTTGATTACAAGATGCGCTGATCGAGAAGCTGCCACTGCGGAGCGGGTTGCGCCAGAGTTTTGTTCGGACAACACATGACAGGCGATCGGCGGATCGAACGATTAATCTGAGGGCGTACAGTGTTTAAGGTGTTTCGTAGATTGCACTCGTTACTTGTTGGGACGGAATGTGCGTCTGAGAAGGGAACTGCGCCATGATGAACGCAAGAAATCAAGGCGAATTCGATGGGTTATTACATCGGGGCTAGACGGTTCTGGCCTCACGACCATGCGTACTCAGACCACAGTAGAGAGAAACGCGGACAGGATGCGAGAGAGGGACGTACTCTAGGACAGAGACACGCGAGACCAGCGTAACATTGTGTCGAGAAACACACACAATATCTATACAACACGCTAAGATCACGAATAACCGATAAAGAGAGATCGCGAGGACACCGACGCCACTCCCATCTATCACAGACAGAATAGGTTCCTTTCAGAGATACACCTTTAAGAGAGCCCCAGAAGCAGGAGATCGTGGTCACGTCAGTTGTCGAGCCTGTTCGGAGCATAGGTAACCCGTTCTATGATCTGGGGATCTCAACGAGCGGCCTTACCGACTACCGGTTGGCCTATTACAGTACCGACTAAACAGCACCTTACACACACTTACAATCCAGGATCCGTCTTTGGACCCCCCATATGATACGACGGACAGTAACTTATGTATTACCCACTTACTGTACATCATACACATTATGTTCTGCGAAACCCCTCG